TGGGGCTTCACCAACAGTAGATCAGACACATCCTTCTTTATATATCACCGCGGTCCATCCATCATCCTTCTTCTGGTCTATGTGGATGATGTCATTGTCACTGGAAATAATGTTGCTCTCATAGATAGTCTTGTTGCCACACTAGATAAAACGTTTGCGTTGAAAGATCTTGGCTTCCTCAGTTATTTTCTTGGCCTCCAGGTCACTCATCTCCCTTCCGGAGTTCTTTTAACTCAGGCAAAATACATAGATGACGTGTTGCGTCGCCTGGATATGGAGGGCTTAAAGCCAGCCCCCTCCCCCACTGTATTGGGCAAACACTTGTCAATTTCTGATGGAGAGCCCATGAGTGATCCCTTTCTATACAGAAGCACTCTTGGTGCCCTTCAATATCTTACCAACACTCGGCCAGACATCGCGTATATTGTTAATCACCTGAGTCAATTTCTCAAACAGCCCACCGACATACATTGGCAAGCTGTGAAGCGGGTGTTACGCTACTTAAGTGGTACAAACTCTTGTGAAATTCTAACTGGTATGATACCTGTTGCGGAGACAGAGGACTGCAACTTTCTGGAGGCCAGAAGCAGAGGATCGCCATCGCAAGGGCAATACTCAAGAATCCGACAGTGCTGTTGCTGGACGAGGCGGCAAGCGCACTGGACAGCCAGTCCGAGAAGGAGGTTCAGGAGGCATAGGAGCGGCTGATGGTGGGGAGGACGACCGTGGTGGTGGCGCACCGCCTGAGCACCATCCGAAACTGCGATATGATCGCAGTTTTGGATAAAGGATCTGTGACGGAAATGGGGACTCATGCTCAATTAATGGAGAAGGGGAACGCTGGAGCCTACTATGCTCTCGTTACCCTGCGGAGTGGAGCCGCCCACTGATCGTCCTTCGTCCTTCCTTTAGAATTTTATTTTCTTCTACTTTGTTTTTGTATTGGAATTTGGACTTCTACTAATTTTGTTGTGTCAACTGGCTGCCTTATTATTACATTTGACATAATTTCACAACTTTCTGTATATTCAATTTCTCTCACTAATTTATCTATAACATCCAACAAAACACCTAAATGCTCGTATGAAAAGTATTCAACACCATTACAATAATAACCACAATTAAAAAATTGACGCATGTCATAACACTCTTCTTGTCTCTCCCACAAACCTATTGTGTGGCTATCAACGTTATAATCTGTTTTTGATGTTTGAGTCTTGAATTTCCCCTTTTAGAATGAGAAAAATAAGGTTGAGTTCAATGATATGGATTTTTGAGAATTTTTTTTGGGTATAAATATAAATTCCATTTAAATTCCAAACTAAATCTAGAAGAACACTCATAAAAATAAAGTAAGAAGTTAAAAGCATAAAATAATAATGATATAATATATAGGGAAATATTAGTGATAAAAAGCTAACAATGAAAGGGGTTTGAAGAAAGAAATAAGTGAGAAAAAGATAAAAGAATAATATAATTGCAATGGATACACTTGTAAAAGTTAGAAATTTTGTAGTATGTAATACACCACACCAATCAAAGCACTACTAAAGCCCAACATGGAGAAAGGCGCACTCAAAATAAAAATTAAAAAAAAAAATCCCAAAGATAAAAAGGTAAATAAACAACAAACATTGTGGATAGAGTTATATTTTATTAGTGGGCCCCACTCTGCAGGCTAACCAGAGCGTAGTAGGCCCCACCCTGCCCCTTCTCCATTAGTGCGGAGTGAGTTCCGGTCTCCACCACCGTCCCTTTGTCCAGCACTGCAATCATATTGCAATTCTGTATGGTGCTCAGCCTGTGC